GAAACATGAAGAGTGGACGCTGAGCGCTGAACGACTGCTGAAACATGAAGAGTGGACGCTGAGCGCTGAACGACTGCTGAAACATGAAGAGAGGACGCTGAGCTCTGAACGACTGCTGAAACATGAAGAGTGGACGCTGAGCTCTGAACGACTGCTGAAACATGAAGAGAGGACGCTGAGCGCTGAACGACTGCTGAAACATGAAGAGTGGACGCTGAGCGCTGAACGACTGCTGAAACATGAAGAGAGGACGCTGAGCTCTGAACGACTGCTGAAACGTGAAGAGAGGACGCTGAGCGCTGAACGACTGCTGAAACATGAAGAAGAAGCTGAAACTGAGTCGATAAAGATGAAACTATCTGAACCTAAAATTAGCAAAACTAAAGTTGAAAATAATTAAAGTCACTGCTGAGTTTTGAATTTAAAGTCCAGAAAAACTTAAATGTCAAACGAGAAGATGTTTAAATCTGGAGTTTCAAAGTAAAGCTTGTAGATATTCTTCAAAATAAGAGTCTGGCTCTGTCATAGTTCAGATTAGACGATGTTTGTCTGTTTTGTTTCTCGTCTGGAGGCCAAACGTTCGACTCTGCTCCTCCGTCTCTCCCTGCAGCGGAGCTGGAGAAGCAGAAAGGTGTGATGCGACCTGGCATCCTGGTGGGAGGCGTGGGGGCGGCAGGGGGCGGAGCCAGCGCTGGCGGAGGTGGCATGAAGAACGAGGTGGTGAACGGCTCCCTGGGTAGGCCGAGCCTCGACGACACGTACGCCTCGGTGGATGGACTCAAACGTACGGCGCTCAGCTCCTCGCTCAGGGATCTCTCTGAGACCGGTAAGAACCCGGGTCCTGGTCCAGTCCTCATTTCATCAGGTCTCCCTCCCAGTGGTCCAGACTTCCTGTAATCTTGTGACGAGGTCTGGATCACAAGTTCTCCAGGTTCTTAAAGCTCTTTCTCAGATTTTAAGTGAACTTTGCTGCTCTCACCTCAGTGATGTGCTTCAGTAGCATAAATTCATCAGGATGGATCTTCCTCCGGTTTTCATGACTCAGATCCACATCTGGGCTGTTACACAACAGATGAGAGAGTCATGGGACCGGTAGACCTGAGTTCTGTTCTGGTAGCGTGTCTCCACCTGCTGGACGGCTCCAGCTCTTCATCAGTGGTTGCTCTGGGCCGTAGTGTCATCAGCGTACTGGTATTCATTAATTTACTGAGCAGCCCCAGCTCTTTATGGCAGAGTGCAGTGATCTGTGGACCCTGTCGATCCAGAGTCAGTCCACATCGGAGCACGTTTACCAAATGTTGAGACTAAAAATGGCACCTGACGTCATCAGCACGTCTGTTTAAAGTTGTTCCAGCTCCTTGTTTCCTCTGAGAAGTCCCTCCTCTTCTACCTGGACCTAGGACCTGAGGAGACCAGGTTTTATACGTTTAAAAGTCCTGGAGGGAACAGATGTTCTAAAACCTGCAGATGTTTTTCTGTATTGATGGAGTCTTTCCAGATGTGTCAGCTGCCTGTGCCAGAGGCACTAATGCACCCCCATACCATCAGAGAGGCAGGATGGTTCCTCTTCTCTTTAGTATGAAGGATGTGTTTGTGGTTTCCAAACAGAACTTCAGGTTTGGATCCCTCTGACCTCAGAACAGTTCTGGACTTCACCTCGGTCCATTTGAAACGAGCTCTGGTCCAGAGAAGAGGCAGCGGTTCTAGATGGTGTTCACATGAACAGAACCAGACCCAGTTTTAATGCAGTGGCCCCTGAGGGCCTCGTCCTTTGAGCTCAGATTTCTTCAGGTTCTTCTAATCTGTGGATCAGATTATGATCTGAAGACGATGGAGATGAAATTTTTATTCAGGAACTTTATTCTGAAGTTCTTCCTGTAGCTTTCGACAGACTGCTGAACCTCTGCCCATCTTTACGTCGAGCCGTTTCTTTTTAAAGCCAGTCCTCTGACCCACCTGCTGATAATTAACCTCATTATTTAAACGAGTTAAATAAATTAAATATTAGCTAATTCTCCTCTAGAAGTTTTTTTATTCGTACCTCTGATTTTTACAGCCTTTTGCTGCGTCTGACACAACTTTTTACAGATGAGTTGCAGCCGTCACGTTTAAAATTTACTGTTTTAAAAATATATTATTTCCTAGTTTAAACGTGTGACAAGTTTACTATAATCTATTGTGAATAAGCTCTGGGTTTATGAGATTTGCCGATCATTGAATTCAGTTTTTATTTACATTTTACACACAGCATCCCGACAGTTGTTAGATGTGGGGTTGTGTTTTTGCAGAATTGGAAATAAAAGTATAAAATATAGTAACATTAACTGTGCATCCAGATTGTAAAGTCTGAGTTATGATAAGAGTTTATGAAGTATTATAGTTTTGCTGTGGTTTCAGTGTAAATGTAAAAAGTGTTTCACAGATATTTGGTCAAAACTAAGTTAAGTAAAATGTTTGTTTTTAAAGTTAAATTAATGCACCAGGGCGTTATTAACTGGTCCAAATAATTCAACAAGAAACAAACGAATGATTTTGGTGTATTTTAGAAAAATGCATCTTTTTCTGGAAATGAGATTTTGTGCATTCTCCAACTAAAACTAGTTTGTTTTCTCTCCATGAGAAATGTGGTTTAACAAAGAACTAGCCTAGCTTAACGTAGCCTAGCTTAATGTAGCCTAGCTTAACTTAGCCTAGCTTAATGTAGCCTAGCTTAATGTAGCCTAGCTTAACTTAGCTTAGCCTAGCTTAACGTAGCCTAGCTTAACTTAGCCTAGCTTAACTTAGCCTAGCTTAACGTAGCCTAGCGTAACTTAGCCTAGCTTAACTTAGCCTAGCTTAACGTAGCCTAGCTTAACTTAGCCTAGCTTAACTTAGCCTAGCTTAATGTAGCCTAGCTTAACTTAGCTTAGCCTAGCTTAACTTAGCCTAGCTTAGCCAAGCTTAACTTAGCCTAGCTTAGCCTAGCTTAGCATTAAGATTTAAAATGGAGGGAAGCTGCCTTGTTCTTCCTGAAGCTAAATAAAACCTGACAACAAACAGGAAGCTCGCTGATTAAAGGGTTTAACTCAATTTTTGAAATTTTACAAGACAAAGTTTCAAAGTTCAACTTGTTTTTTCCGGGGACCAAGTTTTAACTGCCTGATTCTGGTTGGACAACAGGGAAGCGAGGTCGTAGGAACAGTGTTGGCTCATTGGACAGTACCATTGAAGTAAGTTTGGCTGGGGGCGGGGCTTAAAGCTTGCATGAACTCCTTGCACGCCGTCGCCGCACGTTTTCCACCCTGTCTGAAAGTGTTTGTGGTGATTCTAAGGCGGTCTTCACCGGATCTTCTCCATGCTGCAGGGCCTGCTCCACAGGCTCATGTGGTCGGAGAACTCTTCATCTTAAGCTTTTAAAACGTACACTTTTGGGTTTATTGGGAGTTTTTGCAACCGTTACTTTGCATGTTTGTGTTTTTTAAGGGATAATTTGAACGTTTAAAAAATGTAAAGGTGACGCAATCACGAACAACGTGATGTCACGGTTTGTTCTAAGTTGGAGCTCTTTATGTCGAGCTTATTATTTAACTCCAGCTTTTAAATGTAAAATGTTCAAAAGTCATCTGGTCTTAGCTACGTGGTAGTTTGGACTAGTTCCTGAACTCCAGGTTTGGACCTGGTGAGCTCTCCCTTCATCACGTGTCAAACTGTAACCAGGGCCGCAAGCCCAATGCGGCCCTGGTTACAGTTTTATCCGTATTGTGACGTAAAGTTTTTAAATGTATTAAAACTCTGTGACAGATTTAACTTCTAACTCTTCTCATTTCACTTAAAAACTGAATTTAACTCGTTTTTTCAATAAATATTTATGACTGGCACTCAGTTAGGAACAACTTTTATTTTGACGTGCACAACTTGCACAACTGTAATCTTGGCCGTGCACATTACTTTGCCGCCTGCATTGTACTCACCTTGACCCCGATGTTTATGACTGAAGCTGCTGAGGTCCACCTCAGAAATGAAGAAAGCAGATTTGGACCAGAATGTTGTTAAATAATATTTTCTGCTGGCGGGGTTTTACACCTGGACATGTTTCCTGTCCCGGCAGCGGTCCAGCTCTAGACCTCTTGATACATGTTGGAGACGCCTGCGGCTAAATTCAGATGTTCGAGGCTAGCTGCAGATGCTCAAGACAACTTTGACTGTTTCAAAGGATAAGTTGCTGCAGAATATTTTTTGAACATGATCAGAAGTGACGGGACTTCCTGCAACTCACTCATGGAAGTTAAGAACCACGAGACGTTCAGGAGACATTTGGAGTACTCGGTCAGAACAGTTCCCAACCATTCATGGGATAACACCTTAAAAGCAACACGTTTTCTTAAAGAGGTTTACGACGTTTTCACACGACTCGACATCCTGCTCCGACGGTTTAACCTGAAATATCACCCAGACAAATGCTAACGACAGCAGTACTGTCTAAATGCTGCCTTCTATCCCAGAACAGGGTTCCTGGGTTCACTGTGGTACCCCTGCCCCAGAAACACGTCAACCAATAAGCAGACTGAATGTTCTCGTGTGTTTTGTGGAAACATTATTATTTTTAGATTCCCAAACCACGGGAAAAAGCAACAAGATGCACTCATCAAGTGCGAACACAAACCGTACTGTAGACGGGAAAACATGCTTTAGGAGAACTTTAGCAGTGAAGCATGACATAGTCCTGGACCTAGTCCTCACTACCACGCAGCTACGCTCTAATAACTGGGATATTTGTGCTTTGAGTTGAGGTCAAACATTAGTTAATAACTAAAAACCAAACCAGCAGCTCTTCTTGACACGTCTTCAGTCACAACAGCCGCCGAACTGAACCTCTAACTTTTACTGTGCGACCGTCGAGCGGCATGTGTATTTGTAGTCACTGGTACTTTTTTAACTTCTTTGCTCTGTTCTTTTGGCTTCTTGTTCTTCTTCTCAGGGTTCCATCATTAGCAGCCCACGGTCTCACCAGCAGCGCCCCCTGGTGGCTGCTAGTCTGTCCTACAGCCCCATGATGGTGCCTTCGTCTCCAGCAGCATACCGGCCACACCGCCCTACTCAGAGCCCCGGTACAGGGGTGGGGGGTGGGCCGGGGCTCTGTCACAACCAAGGAGGGGTCACTACCTCTCCACTCGCGAGCGGGGTAGGGGCTGGGGCCGGAGGAGGGATGGTGGGTGGGGGTGGCCAGACTCCAGGAGGCCGGATGGGGAATTTCTTCGGCAGCCGAAGAGGCAAGGTTCCTGGTCCCCTGACGATGATGTCTCCCCCTCCTCAGGGTCCTCCGAGTCCCCTGATGATATCATCACCCCCCCACTACCCCGCACCCGCGCCTCCCATCCCCCTCCCATCCTCCCCTTCCCCATGCCCCTCCCCATTGCCCAACCTCGGTCAGTCAGACTTGGGAGGAATTGGAGGGGGAGGAGGTATGGGAGGGGGTCCGTCCAAGCTCCAGGCTTTGCACGCTCAGTACTGCCACGTCAACAGTGGAGGAGGCGGAGTCAGTGGTCACCCACAGCAGCAGACACCACCTCCACCCTACCACCACCATCACCGCTACCACATGCAGAATGTCCCCCAGCACCACGCCCTGACGCACCGCTTTTCCGCACCCCAACGGCAAGGTTGCGTTCCCTCTCATACCCAGCAGCATCAGAGGTTGCCACAAGGCTCCGCACAGCACTCACGCTACAACATGGCAGCCGGCTTCACCACACCTCCGCCGCTGTCCCCGCACTCCCCTGTCACCCCAACTACCCCGCACGGACTCTACCACCCGGGGCGACCGGGTGGAGGCACCAAACTCCCACTGACCATCTCGCACTCCCAGCCCCACCCCCATGCACACACACACTCTCACAATCACGCCGTGCACATACACTCCCCTCTCAGCCCCTCCCCCTCCGCCAATGCCTCCACCCACTTCACCTTCTCCACCCCGCCACCACAAACTCCCTCGGCTCGCCTCGTCTGCCAGACACCTGCGCAGCCCTACGCAGCCCAGTATCCCCCACTGTCGTCCATCCCGCCTCCCCCTCCGCACTCACCTTTACCTCCACCATCGACCGCCCCGCTCTCTCCGCACCTCCCAGGAGCAGGGCAGGGTGGCGGCCCCAAGGCGAAGCCCGTCAGCCGGATCAGCACGGTCGTGTGAGGCGGCAAACGTCTGGGACAGTGATCCGCAACCCAGCTGAGAGCCACCAGGGGGCGATAGTGAGACTCAGCACCCGAAGAAAGAGGAAGAGAAGAGGAGGAGGGCAGGTGCAGGTGTATCAAGACAACCGCCTGATGAAGAGGAGGGCAACAAGAGTGGGGAAGAGGAAGTTACTCAGCCTGTGTTATTTTCATATCGACTTTCCTCACAGATAGAACGAACGTCCTGAAGATGTTTGTTGATCAAACCTCCCGCTCTCGCAAAGATGAAGGAAAACTCCCACATAACTCTGCTTTATTGTTGAAAATGTCCTCATCTTCCCTTTGTAGTGCCGTGTGAGGTGAGCTGGCAGACATGTTTGTAGTTCTTCACTGAAACTCCAAGTGTTCATGTCACGTTGCAAGAACTTTCTAAATGTTTGTTGCTGTGGTGGACAGTTGGTTCAGGGACCAGTCACGAAGGGAACAGTGCTCGAGGTTAAAGCACCAACGTTAGCCTTAGCTGCTAACGTCATGGGTTAAAGGGACAGTTCAGGTGTTTTTGAAACCTGAGGGCAGAATGAGTCCTGCCAATAATTCCCCACTTAAAAAAAAACAATCACAAATCGAGCACTTGTTTTGAATCTTGACATGTTTCTGTGAGGCAAATGCAGAAGTGGTTAGCATCAGTATTGGTGTAGTTTGTGTGTCTTAGACCAGCATGCGTGTTCTGTGCAACAGCTAACGATTCTCAGTGTTTACGGCTGATGCTCGAGCGGAGGGATTCGTTGTGGTTTAAAACCCAGATCCAGCATTTATTTGGACACTTTATGTGGACGATAAACTTTATAAAACCTTTGAAAAAAGCCATGTCAACAAATCTACAGGGGTCTTTTTAACGTTTTGCAACAAGGACTGGAGGCCTTGTGCATTTGTGGATTACAGGGTTTCAGCAGGGGGGCACTAAGCTGTTGTTTTGAACGGGGGCTTCCCCAGTTTTCCAACATTATTTATGCATATTTTGGGTTATTGCATTAAATCTGTAAATGCTGAAGTATCCCAGTGTATATGAACATGTAATACCAGCTGTCTTCTGTATTTTGTGCTCCATGATGTGTGAGAGACTGTAAAGTTGCCAGAGAAGGAGATTAAGCTGAAAGGTGCCAAACAGAAAATTTGTCTTGTTTTTTTCACTGATTTATCCGACACTAATGAAGACAAGGAGCTTCAGGCCGTAAAGAAGTGATTTTATTTTTTAATTTTCAGCTAAATGCCATTCTCTGACCGTGTATCTAAAAACTGGGTGGGAAATTAACATTAAAGTCGTTATCATGGCAACAAAACCAAAAATTTAATCAAAATCAAGCACTAACATTCCTTGAAGAAACATCCGGCATGCCAAAGTTTTAAACAAAGTGTCAGTGATGACTCTCAGCTACTACCGCACCAGGTTTTAGCTCATTATTTGTAAAACTGATTAAGTTAGTCATTTTTGCAGTTACTAATATCTTATGGTGCTTTGCCAATTGCCGCCATCTCAACTCTCCTCGGCTCCGCCCCACACAGTACCAGTTAAGGTCCCGCCCACTGCCGGTACCACCCCGCTCAGTCCGGTTTATGGACCTTGTTCATGGTTCCAAGCGGACTGCTCCGAGCGGCCGATGTTAACGTAAGCAGACAGCAGCTGTTGATTGACCAGCGGAGCTTCTCTGGATAACCTCCAAACTACATCTGAACCTCCATTTGCTCTGATCGTGTTGACGGACAGCGCCACAAGAACTGAGCGCATTTATCGAGAGATATCAGAGATGTTGGCTGCATGGCTACACCCAGACTGGTAAGCAGTGCTGGGATAAGCTAAAAGAATTCAAGTCCCATTATAGGGCAATTAGGGACCAAAACAGGGGGAGTGGCTCGAACACAATGACCAGTTACAGTCCCTCCCACTTTGCATCAGTGACCCCGCCCACAGAGGTAGGGAATCAGGTCACAGTGGTAAATCACCTCCATCTGAGAAGAACCGATAAAACGAGAGCCGAGTGGAGTCGCTGTCATCGATGGGAAAGTGGTTATACTGAATCACTTCAGACATGGTCGATGCAGATCTGATGGTTCGTTTCTGAGTTTGTTCCCCGTCACGGAGTGAAGAGCACGATATGAGCACGATAACTTGATAAATAAGTGAGGTACTGACGTCCATTTTGGTGTGTGGCCACATCAAGACGCAAGAAAGGTCCGTGTTAAAAACTGAGATGCTGCGTCAAAATTCAAGCTGGTTACCACACACACACACACTCCAAAACTTCAGACATTCACTGTTCAAATCCCTCAGCACCAGGGGACACCGGAGAGCCACTTGTTGAACTCTGTCTACTGGTTCATGAGATATTTTGCTAACAGACAAACACATCGAGAAAATAGTTTGAGAAACAAGGAAAATCCCTTTTTGTCAAATGAGTCTAATCCGGAGGCAGTTCCTCCAACTCGCACTTTAATGCGTGCAACCAAAACTTCCTGCGCGTAGACGAGGCCAAGCAAAGACCCTCAGGAGGGAGGGGAGGGAGACTGATAATCACGTAAGTTCAACATGGCAACAGTTTTTAAACTCTCGGAAAGACGCCCAGCTGCCTTGGACTGAGCGTCGAGGGCCGATGTTTCCGAGAGGAACTCTGAGGTCTGGGAGGACCATCAGCCGGCTCGGTTACAGGTCTGCTGCAGGTCCAGAGGTGTTTCGGTAGGCGGCTTTAGGGACTTGAATCTGATCCAGGTAGTTTAGAGGACCTCTAAGTGTTTACGCACAGTCTGCAGAGTTCCCTGAATACAAGGGAAGGTGTTTGGAGTCATAATCAGAAAAAAACAAACTGACAAGATGCCTAATTTCCCACCCAGTCCCAACTGCATTTGTGTTTCTGAACAATAAGATAAAATGTTCTTTTTTTTGGGGGGGGGGGGGGGGGTTGAATCTACATGAAGAACCAGGTGCCTTCAGACGTAAGGATGGTACAACATTAAAGAAATCATAGATTCATCAGAAACCACCGTGGAGTGAAACAGTTCAGCATCAGAGTCGACCACATGCCGGTCAGTTTCAACAAGAAAACAAAACCAGTGACTTCTGATGGACCCTCCAGTCCAACAAAGACACAAACGGATCTGAAAGTTCTTCTGGAAGGACTTGAGAAGGTCTCACTGGACTGAACCTTCCACCATCTTTCACCGTCAGCCAGCATCAAGTGAACAACTCACCTTCAGGCGGTATTATTGCACATTCTTCACGTGGCAGAGTCCGTACTCGAGTCGTTTCCTGTGTTTCTCCTCTCTCTCCATCTCGTGAAGATGTTTGAAGCCCGCGACGGCCGGAGGAAAGCTCTTCCACCTGAATAACTTTCCAACCGTTTCCATTTTCTGACATCAAATAAAACTCAGTGCTGGTTTCTCTACCAGCGTTCAGCCATGAAGGGAATTCTTCTAAATGCAGATGTTTTTTAGTTTCCTTGCACCCGCTGTAGATAATACGTGTACAGTTTGTCTGTCTTCAGTGGGGCCAACAGCATCGAGCTGGAAACAGCCTTTCTTGAATGCTTGAATTAACTAAATGAAAGGTCTAAATAAGGCAAATGTCCATCTGGGTTCTTCAGGCTGCTTGGGTTCTTCACGGTTCCTCACATGGAAAAGGAAACAGAAACCTAAAACTTTGTTGTTGTTTAGAAACAAATGATGGAGCCACCTTTGGCTCCTCTTTCTTCGGTCTGAAGAACCTCTTTAAGGAGCCGGGCTGCAACTGAAGAGCATAAAAAATGGAAATCTCCAGAACGTCTCAGCATGTTTACGGGGGTTCTTTACCTTCTTGCATGAGTCTCAGAGGCTCATGGTCGCTCCTCTCCTGAGTTTGAAATATGTTGGAAAATGTGTCTATCAAACCTTCTCCCGCTGCCGTCGTCTCAAACCCTTCTCAGTTTATCTAACCAGGTGAAGTCAGGTCCTCTGGACTGATGATTCTTTGTTGAAGTGTCTAGTCTTTCATCCAAAAGACTTCTTCAGTCCAGATCTGCCTGGATCATTGAGCGTGCGTCGGGACTTTCTCAGTTTAGTTTCTGTCCAGCGCGCCGAAGCTTTTGACGCCTGCAGGAGTTCTCCTGACTTAAAACATCCAGGACTACAACTCCGAGTGTCCAAAACGCACAGCGATGACAAATAATCGTCTTTCAGTTCCCTAAATCGGCTCACGACAACAAATCGTCTGCTCCGAGTCTAACTCCATTGGTGTCCTGCTGGTTAACAGCACCGGAGGCAGTTGTTGTTGGCCCAGACCCGGACTGATCCGGTAAGAGTCGTAAGAACTGGTAGGACGGTTGTACGATCCAGAGACTCAGTCTGGTCCAAATCTGCTGATCTTTGTTTTCCAGAGTGAACTCAGTAGATTTAATTATAGACGTGGGGGCATCTACCGAGGTGGCTTTGACGTGCTCAACCACCAAGCTGGTGCACACATGAACGTCCTGCTGGTCATACAAGAGCAAACACTCAAAGCCCATTGAGGTTCTGAGTGTCCAGTTGAGGCCAGCAGTCCCAGTTCTGTGAGGTTCTACCCTCAGCCAGCGTTCCTCTGGACTGAGACTGTTGGTGACGAGATGATGAGGCCACAACTTAAAATGCATTTCCCCAGGGAGTCGAACTGAGTGGGTTCTTGTGACACGTGTGCAGATGTAACCGTGGATGAATTGCGACACTCGCATAACATTCTTGCAAGTTACGTGCAAATCGTCTTGTTGCGGTTATGAAGGTCCTCCGGTGGATCTCCGGTTGGTTGTTTGGTTTCATCGTCACCAAACCCTCTCGAACTCAACCGAAGAGTTTCAGGTGCTTCAGTTGTACCAGAGTTGTCACGAGCGTTTTTCAAACGTCTTCTGGTTTCTGGCGACACAAGAGCGAAGAAATGAACTCCTGCAAAGGTTTTGAGCCGTTTTGGGAACTCCCTGTTTGATGCGTCTCCACAGGTGTCGCCCTGCGAGAAAAGCCTTTTGACTTTTTACAGCAAACGTCTGATTTGAATGTTGTTGTGCGACGAGCTTCTTACTAACCCGGCGTGGGCTGCTCCGTATCTTTAGCATCATTTTGGTTTTGTCGTGTGCTTGAAACGTGATTCTTTTAGAAATACTGAAACTTCTTTATCAAACTTTGAACGCCGTCAGTATTCGGTGACTTAACACGCCCGCTGTAATATTTTTAAATGGTGACGTCTGCGTCGAGTTCTGGCCCGATGGGTGCACTCCACGTACGAACAGAAACCTTGGTCGCTCGTCGTGTCGGCTCGAGGCCGAACTGAAGCGAGTCGTTCTGGAGGAGAACGGCTTTCTGAGGCGCTCCGGATCCAACCTACCTCATGAGAACAGGTCCGTAGTTCCAGCGTGAACGAACACGTGACGATTTCTGTTGACGAAGGATGCACTCCAGATGATCTGCAACAAACCGTCGATCTGATCTTCACCTTTAAATCAACGTTTTAATAAGATTATCCACAATAATAACTGGACATTTCTTCTTTCTCAACTTTTGACCTTTGACACTTCAAAGGTCAATGGGCAGCACTTCTCTGAGGTCATGGCTGATGTCTTTCCGCCTTGGCGTTGTGTTACACACAGGTGCTCCTGGCTGATCCTGGACCGATTCATTTTCCGAGCTGCGCAGGAGCAGACGTTTGCGTTTTCATTCGTACGAAACAACTTTACGTTTAGAACGGGGCAACCGAACGTTTGTTCTGAACTCGGAGACGTCCACGTTAAATTTTCCTATAATCACGCTTTGATTGATGTTTTCTGCTGCAGAACTTAAAACTAGAAGCTGTTGTCGCCCTGGAGGTTAGTCAGTCGATCCTCAAGGTGCTGGATTTCATTTGTTTTCAGTTGCAGTCCAAGCAGAAGCTTCGATGGGGTCGTCGTGTGAATCTTCTGTTTCGTGGCCGGGCCTGCGCTCCACGTTCAGTTTGCATGTTTATTACAGTTTCTGCACTCAATGGACTCTGTTAGAAACAGGAATGTACAGAAGTCGTTAAATGAAAACTAACCATGCGACGACTCGCGCTGCTCGACAGCGGGCAGTTTGTTCGTGGCTGAATTTTTATTATTTTTATTTTTGGGAACTGAAGTTTTGTTGTTTTTGGACTGAATCAGATCAGGAAAACAGGGAACTGTAAAAAATAAAAAATGACAGAATATCAGACGTTCTACTGGCGTTTGGAGCGTTCTGTTCCCACGTGAAGGTAGTTTGTTGTTGTGTGTACCGATCAAGGGGGTCTCAGTGTTTCCAAATAACTCAAAGGACCGTTTTATGGAAAAAAAAATCATATTTCTTGTTTATAATGTAGAGCAAAGAGAGACTGCGATAGTCCTTGTAAAATTGTACGAGTAAAGTCTGCGTCTGACAGACGACATTATTTTAAAACTATGTATGGAAGATTTTAGCTGTGTATATAAATATATATTACTTGTACTTGTTTTTGAAACTGCACAGATATGGAAAAGTGGAAATATTTATTGCTGAAAAACATAAAAATCTGTTCATGTGGATGGAAAGCTGCGTCCTGTTTTATTTGGTCGTGAACTTAAATTTCCTGAAGGTCTGTTTGAGATTTCAGAATCAGATGTTATTATTAATTTACTGCTTCAGCAGAACGCAGCTGGACTTCTGGTGCCAGCCTGTTTCTGTAGTGGACCTGTAACCCTTCAACAAACGAGGCGTCCAGGTCCGATCCTCCTCAGATGGACCTTCCCTGCCTGAGGGGTCTAGTAGTGAGCAAAACCCTGGATGAACCTGAGGTCCACCACCAGCACCTGGTCCTTCGTTCTAACCCTAATCACGTTTGTCCCTGTCGCAGAGCAAAGAGAGCGCACATCTGTCCATCTGTGCACGATAAATGGACTGTACTTATACAGCTCCTTTCTGTCTCGTGAAGACACTCAGAGCTCGTTACAACGATCTGTGCCTCATTTACCCGCTCACACAGAACTCCACTAGATCTCTACAGAGAATAATCAGAGTTTATCACATTCATGCACTGATGGGACACATCAGAGGTAACGAGGGGTTCAGTGGCATGTGACTGCTGGTGGAATCGAACCCCCAACTCACCCACTGGGGGACTCAGCCACAGCCGCCCATGAACTATAACTTCAAAGACATGTAGAGGTACCAACTTCCATTTTGTTTGGCTGCGTGAAGGTGAAGAAAGGTTCTTTTTAACCTCATGTTCTTCTCCACAGTGTGACTTCTACCCACTTGAGTGTCTTGCAACAAAAACATTTAGGTTTACAATAGTCCCTTGATAATTGCAGGGTTTACAGTCCAGACACCCCCAGGTTAGGTGAAAAACCACCAAGGAGGAACGCTATATTTATTTTAGTTTGTGTGTGTGTATATATAATGTGATAAGATAAGATAGAACTTTATTGATCCCGCAGGAAATTGTTGTGCCAGAGGAACATACAAGAATCACACAAGATAAAAAATAACAGAATATAAAATACCAGCAGTTAAGTTCTAAACAGGTCAGGTGCAGGCGTGTGTGAAATGTTTTAATGTGAAAACATTAGAGTTTATTGTAGTACAGGATTATTCATTCAACCTTTATTTAAACAGATAAATCACATTGAGCCTCGAAGACTCATTTACCAGTGAGACCTGTTTGTTCTACCTGAGATAAAAAAAAAAACCTCTAATATTAAAAAAACACCTCGCACAAACAAGCACATAGTGACATAGACATTCTGCAGAGGGGGGGGACCGAGAGCGGTCAGCATGTTCTTACATGCTCTCTCTCGAGGTCATTAAGTTCTGATAAGGATGGAAAATCAGTCCATGTCCTCCGGTGAGATCCATAAACATTCTCGAGGGATGTCGGGGAATGGCCAAGAATAACGTCTATGAGAATCCAAGAGTCCTGAAATGATGACACAAAGTTTATTCAGCTGGTTTCATCTGGTTATCAGTTGGAATTAATTGATGTTATTGTGCAGAAAGGGGGAGGAGTTAAAAAGTTTGAAGGACTTCCTGTGTTGTTCTGTGGAGCACCTCGGTGGTCTCAGTCTATGACTGAAGATGCAGCGGTAAGAGTCCAGGGTGTCATGCAGGGGGTGTGACGTGTTGTTCAGGATCTGGAGCAGGTTCCTCAACGTCCTCTGCTCAGACTCCTGTCAGAGACTGCAGGTCCACTCCCAGAACTGAACCAGCTCTTCATGAGCTTATCGAGTCTGTTGGCATCAGCTTTCCTCACCCTGCTGCTCCAGAACACCACAGAGTAGAAGATGATGCTGGAGACCACCGAGTGGTAAAACATCTGCAGCATGGTCCTGCAGATGTTGAAGACCTGAGTCTTCTCAGAAGAAAAAAATGCAGCTTTGACTTTGAAATGAAAAAGCATTTCTGCTAATTCATATTAATTTTCAAATTTGACATTTCAAAATTAATTTTGGTCACTTTATAGAAATACATGTTGAAAATTAAATGTTAAACGTTATTTTATTAATCATTTTAATTATTTTACAAACTGCGCAGTCTTGGAGAAGAAAATGAAGTTTGAATTATTTATTTTAAATTTTATTTAAGAGTCAAAACATGCAGCTTTATTTTGTAAATGAAAAGCATTTTTATTAATCTATTTTAATTTGAAAATTGAGACACATTCGCTTCCATACTACTGTGAGGTGTAATAGGTCAATCTGCATATGTATAACCCCACTCTCTGATGAGAAGCGAAAATTCTGTTACAAATAAAGTCCAGTTGTTTTTGGCTTGAACTTTTTTTAAACTTTACAGGAAACACTTCAAACATTTGATTACTTGTACAAATACTTGTAATAAACTTTCAGAGGATTTTATTTATTTATTTTGCCATGAGAAAGAAAGATTTAAAAATATTTGACTAGGATCCAGGTCGGTAAGTATTTCCGGTTAACCCGGAAGTACTTCTTGTTCCGGGCGGACGCAGTCGAGCGTGTTTGTCATTAAAAAGTTGACAAATACGGTGAGTTATCGGAGTTTAAAGATTAGGTTTATAACTGTGACAAGTTTTGGTAATAAAAAGTTAATAAATATTGTTTTTATGATCCGGTGTTCCTCTTTAAACAGACCGGACAGAAACAAACGGGCGGTTTAAAAAACAGTCAAACTGTCACGTTTTGTTTTCTGTAAATGAATGAGATTATCTTTAGATTTGGTTTTTGGATCTGAAAAATCATTGTATGAACAGTTGGTGATGTTTAAAAGTTCTGATTTACCTACTTTTTACATTTCTTCTCGAAAATATGAGACAAAAGGAGCAACCGTTTGTAATCACACACAAAGATGAACTGTTTAAGTTCAACAGTTCATCTTTGTGTGCGATTACAAACTGATGTTGGAGGTTCTGGTCCAAAGTTTTCTAGAGACAAGCTGGCAGGTTTGGGTGTTTCAACTTTTAAATGTTTCTAAAGGTGATCAAAACTTTTCGTCTGAGGTCCAAACCATGGTTGGTCCAGAGCTCCTGCTGGACTCCAGCATCCGGCTGTGGGTGGTCCTGCCCATCGTCTTCATCACCTTCCTCGTTGGTGTCCTCCGTCACTACATCACCCAGCTGCTGCACAGCGACAAGAAGGTGGACCTGGAGCAGGTCTCAGACAGGTGAGTCCACCTGGAGCAGGTCTCAGACAGGTGAGTCCACCTGGAGCAGGTCTCAGACAGGTGAGTCCACCTGGAGCAGGTCTCAGACAGGTGAGTCCACCTG